CCGCCGTCAGTCCAGACGCGCGCGCAGTGGGCGAGCGCCTTCGGCGTCGCGGCAGGCCTCCAGTCCAGTCGTCTGGCGGCCGCACCCGGCGCTGAGGCAGCTCCTCTCCCGACCCGTCCCCGACCCTCGGCGGGCGTGACTGGGCAGCAGGCCGATCATCCTGCCCGGGGTGGGCGGTGTTTTGGCGCTTCATTCATGGCTTCGCCCCACCAGCAGGGGCGATCGAGCGAGGCAGCGGCGCGGGCGGGAGTGGGCCCGTAATTTTCTGCCTTGGCGGGGATGTGTCGACCCGGCTTGTTTTTTCTGGGCCACCAATGTGCGCGTTGACAGGCGGGTTTGTGGCGACCCGCCGATAGTGCCAGGACCATTTGAATTTTTTGACGCGCGCAAGTCGTCGGACGCGGAAAGACAAAACTAATGCCCTCACTGTAAATGTATAGAGAACCGAGCCATTGTTTGCCAGGTGCCCTTAGATTGAGACTCCAGTTTAATCTGTCGCAGCGGAAGCCACGGTTTGGCGAGGCGGCCCAGGAATTCGTCGGGAGAGAGCGAAAGGGAGGGGAAAACGAGGGCGACACAGGAGAGGAGAAGGAGGGACGAGGGAGGAGGAAGGTGGAGGAGGATGGTGTCCGAGCAAGTTTCTCGCGAATGTTCTGCCTCGCAGGGCCAGCTGGGGTGTGAACGAAACAAAAATTCTTCACGCTTCGCGTATCCCCACCAGTTGCTAGCAGTACGTCAGCCAGATCTGGCCGGCCGCGTTCTGTTTTTGCAAATTAGCCTCGCCCGTGGCCCGGACGTTGCCATCGCCACATGACCGCAGTCTTCGTGGCCGCTGACCAAAAAAGTATCCCCACCAGATTTGCAGTTCCCTGGCAGCCCCAGCAGCTTGCAGTCCCACCCCCGGCGCTGTTTCTCAGCCTCGGCGGTTGCAACGCGGCCTCCGGCGCAATTGCAGCGCGGCTTCGGCGCAGCGGCTTCCCCCGGCGGTAGGCTCTGCGCGCGCGCCGGCAATTAGTTTCGCTCGTAGCCCGAGCTGACACTTGCGACGCTGATGGAGCCCTCGTTTGCGGCTGCGACAAAAAAACACCAGCTCAGCCCCTGGCAGCTCTTGCAGGCTCTGCCTTCGGCGCAGCCCAGCTTCCCCCAGCGGTCGGTTTAGCAGTTGCCTGCGCGCGCTAGGCAATTAGTTCTGTTCGTAGCCCGAGCCGACCTGTGACGCCGCCGGCGCTTTCGCCTGCGGTTGCGACAAAAAATATTCACTGCGTGGAGCCCCCCATATGTGCATCAATTCGTATGGACCTGTCCGCCGTGAGTGTCTAGGCGCAAGAGCTTTCGAATATGAATGGGCTTCAGTTGTGACGGTCTGGTCATGAATCTAACTGAGAATGAATTGGAGTGTGTATGAGCCTCAGTAGTACGAGCGCGTCTCTGCGCATGAGCCTGGGTCCTCCTAGGGCCTCCTGGGGCCTCCTGAGACCTACTGGGGTTTCCTCGGGCCTCCAGGAGCCTCTTGGGGCCTCCTGGGGCTTCCTGGGACCTCCTAGGGAGGATTCGTGCCCCAGGAGTGGCCCAATTTATGGCAGAAGACGTGCATAAAACATTGCGGATTGGAGCCGCAGGAGAAGGGGGCGATCCATAGGAACACACGTAAAACACCGAGGGCTCGTGCCCCAGGAGAGGCCCTACAGGAACATGAGTACACAGGAGAAGGACAATCTATAGAAACATACGTATAACATCAAGGCTTCGTGCTCCAGGTGAGGCCCAATCTATAGGAGCATACGTAAAACACATGGTATTGGAACCACTCCTGTTGCCTTCTGAGGCCTCCTGCTCCTGGGGCCTCACGGGGCCTCCCGTTGCCTTCCGAAACCTCCTGGCGCTTCCTCTGGCCTCCTGGGGCCTCCCGTGGCTTCCTGAGGCCTCCTGGAGCTTCCTGGGGCCTCCTAGAGCCTCTTGGGACATCCTGTGGCCTCTTGGGTCTTTCTGTGGCCTCCTGATGCCTCCTGGGACCTCATGTGGTCTCCTGGGGTTTCCTGGAGCCTGTTGGAGCCTCCTGTGGCATCCTGTGGAGAATCTGTGCCCACGAGTCTGGCCATCGATCGAGACATCCTCAAAATCTGGCCCACCTGGGGGGTGAAAATGAGCGTCTCGCTCGAGACATCCTCCAAATCTGCTCCGAAAGCGAAGGATGCTGGGACAGAAAACAAACAAACCGCTGAAAACATCCCCACAAAACGGCCGCGAACGGGACCGTTAGATAACCCCTGGCGGCTCACCCTAGGGGGGTGAAAATGAGCGCCTCGCTCGAGACATCCTCCAAATCTGCTCCGAAAGCGAAGGATGCTGGGACAGAGAACAAGCAAACCGCTGAAAGCATCCCCACAAAACGGCCGCGAACTGGACCGTTAGACTTGGCGGCTCACCTTAGGGGTGTGACAATGAACGCCTCGCTCGAGACATCCTCCAAATCTGCTCCGAAAGCGAAGGATGTTGGGACAGAAAACAGGCAAACCGCTGGAGGCATCCCCACAAAACGGCCGCGAACGGGACCGTGAGATAACCCCTGGCGGCTCACCTTAGAGGGGGTGACAATGAGCGCCTCGCTCGAGATATCCTCCAAATATGCTCCGAAAGCGAAGGATGTTGGGACAGAAAACAGGCAAACCGCTGGAGGCATCCCCACAAAACGGCCGCGAACGGGACCGCGAGATAACCCCTCGGCGGCTCCCCTTATAAAATCTGCTCCGAAAGCGAAGGATGTTGGGACAGAAAACAGGCAAACCGCTTGAGACATCCCCGCAAAACGGCCGCGAACGGGACCGTGAGATAACCCCTGGCGGCTCCCCTTAGGGGTGTGACAATGAGCGCCTCACTCGAGACATCCTCCAAATCTGCTCCGAAAGGGAAGGATATTGGGACAGAAAACAGGCAAACCGCTTGAGGCATCCCCACAAAACGGCCGCGAACCGTGCGCGCGTGAGTCTGAGTATGAGTAAGTCTGAGTAGGAGTAGGTCTGAGAATGGGTAATGTTGTGTGTGTGTGTGTGTGAGTCAGTCTGGGTATGAGTAAGTCTGAGTGTGAGTCAGTCTGTGTATGAGTAAGTCTGGGTATGAGGAGGAGAGGGGAGGAGAAGGAGAAAAAGGAGGAGAAGTCGGTGGCGTCCAAGAAATAACAATAACCCCATATTAGGATATGGGGAATATCCCCACTAGCTGAGCTGGGCGCTGCTCGCTTCGCTGCTTTATCATTCGCTTCGGCGCGGCGCCCGCCCTAGCTTGCACGGCGTTCGACTCGTCTTCGCGCGCCAGCGTGCCAAAAAGTATCCCCACCAGCCCAGTCAACAACCCGGCCTATGAGAGCTGACGGGAAATAGAAAGAAGAGACACCTACAGTGAAACATAGCGGGCAATGAGAGGAGGGGGAGGAGGGCGTTGAGCCATCTAGGAGACTATGAGCATCGGGACACTTTGGGGGCATATTGGGGACATTTGGGAGGGCATCGATCGAATGATGGGGGGGTCCTCGATGTCGGCCCTCCCCCCCTTCAGGAGCCCTCGAAATCGCCTCTTGGAAACATCTTCGGGCTCTTTGGGGGGTCTTTGGGCCGTCTCGAGGCCCTCTTGGGGCTCTCTTAGAGCTCTCACGGGAGCCCTGGAGCGCCTCTTGGGGCAATCTTCGAGGATATCGATCAAAGGAGGGGAAGGCCCGAACTAGGCCCCCCACCTGGGGCCCCCAACGCCGCCTTGAGCCCCTGTTAGGGCGGTCTTGGGCGCTCTTGGGGCCGTCTTGGCTGTCTCTTAGGCCACTCTTGGCGCTCTCTTGGGACATTCTGGGGCCAATTTGAGGCCTCAAAACCGCATGGGAAGCGAAACGGTGAAAATACAATAACCATCAGTTTTCCAATTTTTTGGACGGATTTTGGCTTCTCGGGGGGGTCCTGGGGGGGGTCTCCGAAGGCACTTGGAATTGTATTGTGGTCCTCTTGCAGCCTCTTAGAGGCATGATGGAGGTCATCTTGATCAATATTGCGCTATCTTGAAGCATCTTGGTGGTCATCTTGGAGCATCGTAGGACCCTCTCACGACCCGCGACCCCCTCCCAAAAACCGTTGGGAGGGGAGGGAAAGGGTACCCCTCCCCGAAGGGAAAAGAGGTTTCTCTTGGAAAAGGAAAGAAAGATATCGTTAGACCACCTACGCCCAGAGGGCTGGTGTGACTATGGCTCCACAGTCTTGTGTCGGGCCTCGGGACTGTCAGAAGACGATCTTGGTTGAAGGCCTGACCAGCATGGACCCCAGCAAGGGGGTGGGGACCGATTCTCTACGGATCTTCGTCGGGGACAAGGGGCCAGTGGAGAGGGAAGAGAGATGGAAAGAGAGAGAGAGAGATAGAGAGAGAGAGAGAGAAAATACAAAAAAGAGACACCAACATCGGACGCGTGGTCTGGGCGCCGCGACCGCCAGTGCCGCGCACACCTAACCCTTGTGACCATGGCGGGCGTAAGCAGATGGTCCTAACGGCCCCCTCGGCTTGCGGCCAGAGGACACACGACTGGCGCTCCGAAGGCGGACCAGCCACGAAGCAGCGTGACGGACCGGCGGCCGCGACGAAAGGGGGGACGGCTTGACGAGAGACGCCGAGTCGAACAGGGGTCTGTTCGGGCGCCGCGGGGACTGGCAGTGCGCGCGCTGGGCGCACTCAAGGCCAAGTGCGGCAACGAGAAGTGTAGGGCTAGCTGCTAGCTGCGCGTTCGGACCCTGGCGCGCTGTGAAGGTGCGACGGGGTGGACGACACGGTATGTGGCGCCCGAGCCTTGCCCGGTGCTGAACGCCGTGTACGTGTAGGTATGGCCGTGCAGATTGAGGGCGACGTTGGAAAGAGAGAGAGAGAGAGGGAGATAGACACTGGAACACACAGGAGTCCGCGCGGGCGCTGGGGCCATGCGCGCCCCGCGCGCCACTACTTTTCTGGGGCCAGGGCTTGGCCTAAAGAGACAGGAGCCCGAGGCGCTCCTGGCGTGGGCAAATGGCGCACGGCTGAACGTGTGGACGCGGCAGGCGGCCGCTGCGCCGTGCGGCGAGCTTCTCACGCAGGGCGGACCGCGCACGAAGTGGGAACAGCGCAGTGACAGCTCCCAGGATACGTACGGGCCTCGCCAGGTGAGGAGAGAGAGAGAGAGAGAGGGATAGAGAGAGAGAGAGAAACCCTGAGATCCGACGAGGCGAAAGGCTTGCAACATCAAGAACAGTCAGGGCCGAAGTCCTAGACCCCATCTTCCTGCGTAATCTTCCGAGCCGGATCGATCTGCGAGGGTCCCAGGGCTCGATATGGGGCGAAATCGCAATGCAGTGCCCAGGTTTTTCAGGAATCTCAGGAGAAGGACGGAAGGATGGGATGGGTGAGGGGAGGGCGCTCCCTTTTCTTTCTAGAGCTGGGGAGGTCACCGACATCTTCAGCCAGCTGGATGCCGACGGGGACGGCGCCCTCACGTGGCCCACGCCGCCAGTCAGCGCCACCGCCTCGTCATGTGCCCACGCCACGCACACATATATTCCCTTCTCATGTCATTGATCCGAAACTCGTGGGTGAAAAACATATCCGTATCCACGGCCTCGTGGGCCAGCGTTTTTTCGCGGATTCCCCGCGCGCAGCGTATCCGTGTGACCGCGTATCCGCGGGATCGCGTCCTGGAATCCAGCCCGCGAGGACGCGGATACAGATATGTTCGCCGATCGTGAGAAACCCTGCGAAGGGCCCCCCGCCCTCGAAACTGGCCCTCCCGGATCCTTGGTCCCGGGGACCTTCTGGACGCCCCTGCAGAGACTGGGCTTTTTGGACTTCCCTGCTAGGTCTAGCTAGCGAGCCCAAAGCGGTCAGAAGGGTGCCCAAACGGCCCCACGAGTGTCCCAAGCGGTCCCACCCACCCACCAGAGGCGCGAAGACGGCACGGCCCATGGAACACCCCCAACATGCCCTCGAAACTCACAAGCATTTGTTGTACAATTTTCAAATGCTCTGTTCTTCGGTCTTCCGAGCATCCCGAGAGGCCTCCAAGATCGCCCCAAGACCCCGGAGTGCCCCAATACAGCCCAAGAGGCCGCAAGATGGCCCCAAGAAAACCTTCAAATGGCGCAAGATGGCCCCAGGACGCTCGCAAAACCTTCTAAATCGGGACGCGGTCGTTGAGGCAAACTGCGAAGGACAGCATGATAATTAGCCTCGAGGAGCCCCCAGAGGCTCCCCAAAGACTTCCAGGGTGCCTCCAGAGGCCCCCAACAGGCTCCAAGAAGCATTCGAGGGGCCTCCAAGAACCCTCTCAAGGAGGGGCCTCCGCAAAAAGTGAGGACGGGTCCGCAAAAATGAGGACGGGGAAGGGTTCGCAGAGAATGGCGAGAACGAGGAAGAAAAAAAAGGAACGAGGAAGAAAGGGAGACGGATGATAAGGAAGAGAACGACAGCGCGACCACGGAGACAATGCCATCTTACATTGCTCCCTCTATATATATATATATGTATATAGATATATCGCTCTCTACCGCTCACTCCGGCCGCGCGAAACTTGAAGAACCAAGATACGTGGAGAGAGTCGCCAATGCAATCTTGAATGTATATGTGGATGTATGCGTGTGTATATGTATACCGAATTCTATATCGGAGTAGGCCTTGGGCGGGCCCTGGACCGAGACCCCGGGTGCACATGGGTGCCGCAGGGTAAGCTTGGCAAGCCTGGTAGGCCTTGCTAAGCCGTGCTGGGCCCTGCTCAGTCTTGGCAAGCTTTGCTGGGCCCTGGGAATCCTTGCGAAGCCTCGAGCCCTGCTGAGCTTTGCTGAGCCCTGCTAAGTCCTGCTGAAAGACTTGGTAACCAATGCTAAGCCTTGGCAAGCCCTGCTAAGTCCTCGTAGAGCTTAGCCCTACTGGGTCTGCTAAGCACTGCTCAGCCCTGGCACGCTCTTGTAAACCCTGCTAACTCCTGGTACGCCTTGCTGATCCCTGGAAAGCTCTGTTCAGCTTTGCCATGCCCTGGTCAGCTCTGCGAAGCCTTGTGAATATTGGTAAGCCTTGCGAAGCCCAGCTAAGCTTGGCACGCCTTGCGAAGCCGTGCTGGGCCTTGCTCGGCCTCGCCAAGATCTGCTTGCGAGGCATAAAGGGGCTGCCGAGCCTTTGCTGAGCCCTGCTAAACGACCGGGTTAGCCTTGTCAAGACTGGATAATCCCTGCGAAGGCCTTGAAGTACACCTTGCGAAGTCCTACTGAGCCTGCTCAGCATTGCTGAGCCCTGGCCAGCTGGGCTGAGCCTTGCTAAGTCATGGTAAGCTCTGCTCAGCCCTGGTAAGCTCTGTTAAGCTTTGCTATGCCCTGGTAAGTTCTGCTAAGCCCTAGCTGAGGTCAGCTTGGGAAGACTTGCCAAGCTCAGGCAAGCTTGGTAAGCCTTATTAATCCCTGCTCGGCCTTGCTGAGCCATGGCAAATGTTGCTCAGCATGCCTAAGCCAAGGTAGATAATGCTAAGCCTTGCTCAGCTCTGCTAAGCATTGCAACTCCCTGGCAATCCCTGCTAAGCATTGCTTAGCCTTGCTGAGCCAAGTTAAGCCCTGCTCAACCTCGGCAGTCAGAGTGAGAGGGGCCGAACGGTCATTCACTGTCCCTGGGTGCGTGGCTGAAGTGGAATTCCGCGGTGCGGATTCTCGTTGTTGTTGTTGTTGTTGTTGTTGTTGTTGTTGTTGTTGTTGTTGTTGTTGTTGTTGTTGTTGTTGTTGTTGTTGTTGTTGTTGTTGTTGTTGTTGTTGTTGTTTGTGTTGTTGTTGTTGTTGTTTGTTGTTGTTGTTGTTTGTTGTTGTTTGTTGTTTGTGGTTGTTGTTGTTGTTGTTGTTGGTTGTTGTTGTTGGTGTTGTTGTTGTTGTTGTTTGTTGTTTGTTGTTGTTGTTGTTGTTGTGTTGTTGTTGTTGTTGAACATTATTACTTCTAAAGAATAATTATTGTTGGGACCCCTGGTACACGACCCCCCTCCAAAACCTAGGCCGCAGCTACATTTTCATCATTTTTTCGCGAAAGCTTCAGAAAAGTGGATTAGTACCGGATCCGGTTGTTTTGTTCCCCCCCGTTTTCCCTTGCAAAAAACACTATAAAATGAAATTTCTTGTTCAAATGTAATCCAATTTCAAGAATCCCTTGCAAAAAATAAGCTAAAGTGGACATTCGCGCGTGCAAGACGAAATCCTTCCAAAACCTTAGGTTTCGGAACGATTTCAACATAAAAACATCAAAAACCCAATGGTTTTTTAAATAAAAAATTGTCAAAATCTCATCCCGCGCGCTCTTGCGGATTCGTAGGAAAACCATCACTTTTTAAACAATTTTGTCAAACGGGCTTTTGCGAGCAACTTTTTCGAACTTCTGCGACAACGGTTGCGCACCTGCCAGGGCCATCATCCCTGTCAAATAATACCATGCGGGACACATTCGTTTTTTCTTCGCGCGCGCACGCCGAAATCTCCAAAAACCATTGGGCTTCTTAAGAATTTTAGCACCGCGCATCATAAAATCACACGAATCGCACCGTAGGTCCTCGAAAAACACCTGCACGACTTTTCAAAATTTCTACCCGCGCGCGCTGTCCGAATCCTAAAAAAACCAATGGTTTTCCAACATTTATGTTACATGAGCTCGCGCGAGCTACTTTCGCACGCTCTTGCAACGGGGTTCGCGCGCCTGCCAGGGGCCAGAATCCCTTGCGGTTGCGCCATATGTTGCGCCCTCGGCCGCCGAGAATAAAACGCCCCCCTATTGGTTGCGTCATAGGTTGCGCCCTCGGCCGCCGAGAATAAAACGTCCCCCTACTGGTTGCGCCATAGGTTGCCATAGGTGTGTACTCCACGCCAGTGTAGTAGCCACGGTCGTCCGCAGGCCACGAAGTGAAGTGTCCGAACGTCATAGGGCGGGAAGCTGGGTGTGGGTGGTGGCGAAGAGTCGTGTGGATATTTGGTAGAGCTTGCACTGCCCCCCCACAAAGTGGGGGTATTGGCTGGCGTCGCATGAAAACCCTGGCACTGGTGAGAACACTGAGCGTTCGGGTAAAGTGATTGTTGTTGTTGTTGTTGTTGTTGTTGTTGTTTGTTGTCGTCGTCCCACCCGCAACCCGCCCCGCGACCCACCCGCGACCCACCCCGCGACCCACCCGCGACCCACCCGCGACCCACCCGCGACCCACCCGCGACCCACCCCGCGACCCACCCCGCGACCCACCCCGCGACCCCGCGACCCCCCGCGACCCACCCCGCGACCCGCCCGCGCCGCGACCCACCCGCGACCCACCCGCGACCCACCCGCGACCCACCCGCGACCCACCCGCGACCCACCCCGCGACCCACCCGCGACCCACCCGCGACCCAAACCACGTTCAAGGTACAAACCACCATTTTCGGCGCCTGCGGCGGGTTTTTTTTGCATTCCTTCCAGGTGGAGAGCCCGCGACCCACCCCGTGACCAACTCGCGACCAACCCGCGACCCAAACCACGTTCAGGGTACAAACCACATTTTTCGGCGCCTGCGGCGGGCATCTTTTGCATTCGTTTCAGGTGGAGAGCCCGCGGCCCACCCGCGACCACGTTCAGGGTACAAACCTCATTTTTCGGCGCCTGCGGCGGGCATCTTTTGCATTCGTTCCCGGTGGAGAACCCGCGGCCCACCCGCGACCCAAACCACGTTCAGTGTACAAACCAATTTTTTTGGCGCCTGCGGCGGGCTGCTTTTGCATTCCTTCCAGGTGGAGGTGGAGAGCCCGCGACCCACCCGCGACCTAAACCACGTTCACTGAACAAACCAATGCCGCACAAGCGCGGCGGCGGATTTTCGCATGCCGTCTGAGCCCGCAAGGACCTCTTCAAGCCCCGCGCATCCACACCAGCCCGTCCAGCAACTCTGCCCTGGCGAGTTGCCTTGATCAGAGAAGGCGGGGAGCATAAAGTGGAAAAAAGGATTGCGTTGCAGTTATCTTGGGAAAGGAGGGGGAGGCAGGAGGAGTAAACAGCGGACGAGGAGAACGCGGAAGAAGAGAGGATGTAAGGAGAATGTGGAGAAAGAAAAGGAGGAGGAGCAGGACGATGATGGAGGCCGATGAGGGGGAGGACGACAATGGGAGGACGATGATGAAAGGACGAGGGGGGGAGAGGGAGGACAAGGAAGAAGAGGAGGAGGACGAGGACGAGGTGGAGGAGGAGGAGGAGGACGATGACGATGAGGACGAGGACGAGGACGGAGGAGGAGGAGGACGAGGACGGAGGAGGAGGAGGAGAGCGCCATCGACAGGGAAGGTGGGGGCCACGAGGTCCGCCGGCTCGACGACGCCCGCGTCGCCCGCGCCCGCCCCCTCACTCTTATCCGCAATTGCGGGGTGCTATATATTCGCCAAGCCAGGGCGCCACACATCAGGACCGCATTAGTTCGTAGTCACCAACGTCCGAACCAGTGCGCCGCGCTTGGCGGGTGATGCCTGCGCGGCGACCTCCTC